ATATTATGTCATAACACCCCCTCTGGATCCTGTTCATATAACATAAGACATTGTCATTCAAATCATTAAGTTAAAACACTTACAAGTAGGGGTGGGAATCTCTAGGCACCTCACAATTCGATTCGTTTATGATTCAGAGGGCTGAGAAGGGATTATAAAACGATTATCGATGCATCTCGATGCATCTTTTTTTTATTTACATGATTTCTATTTTCTCACTGTGTGAGGACTTGGTAGTTTTAAAACAAAGTATTTGTAATGATTCATAATGCATTTATGTCCAATATCTTTTATTAATAAAACAAATGGAAGGGATGTGGCAAGTGAACTGGAACGCTCTCATTCACTGCTCTTGTTTGGAGACGCTGCTGCCACTCATCTGTGATAAAATGCGCTTTTACAGTGAAATAAGATCCAGCGGTAATGGATGACCACGCAGCACATTATAGCCGTCCTACCCGTTTTCTTTAGTGATTTTATAACTCCGGTTTTGGTCTCGCGGTAGAGAGGGGGGGGCGGGGTGTGTCGCTGTGTCAGTAAAATATCTTCGAGACGTGAGGCGTGCAACATAGCGCGGAAGCCCTGGTTCTCAACGACTGAGAATTGCCGTGCAGACTGCAGGTCACCTAGCAACGAGGTTTCGCCTGGCTAGTAGCCAACGAAAAGGAAAAGAGAAAGACAGAAGAACATTTAGAGACGTTTATAAGCAACGTAACTAGTTGGTTTCCTGATACGTTAAATTTGCAACGAGAGACTGTCAAACACTAAAAAGTTGCGAAGATGAAGTCGCTTCTCTTTCTAATTTCCCCGTCTAATTTTACCTTAAATGGTGCCGCATTTACCTTCGGCGCCTCAGAATTTCGTCAGAATTTAAGGTGGAACGGGAAAGTTCAGCAATAAGCTGGTGAAGGTGAAGCGACTTCAGCCTCGTAAAAGAGCTGAAAGCTGAAAGACATTTTACAAGAAACTATTCAACTTTTGAGGAAAAGTTTTCTGGCGGAAATGGAAGAAGAGCGGCTATAGCCAAAGCTTAAAGTAGAGCAGAGTAAGTCCGCTTTTTCATTTATATTGTTTAGTCTATACTAGGCAATAACACATACTGAGAAATATTGGACATTAAATGTTGTGGCTCCCAAGGTGGTTTGATTTTTGTTGAAAGGACAAAATGGCTCTTCTTAACATTTGGGTTGTGACTCCTGACCTAACTTAGCTTTTAATGCATCCCGTTGTGTTTTTGTTATGTGCCGCCACAGACTGTCCGGGCACTGCACTTACCCACCTCCGCCCTTTGCGTTCCGTCAACATTACGTTATAAGTATTTAGAAAATCGATTTTTGACATTGAATGAATCAATTCAGAATCATCCACGTCCGCATCACGATGCATCTAAGAATCGATTTTTTCCCACACCCCTACTTACAAGGATGCCTTGACTTTTAATTTGCACCTAGTAGAAATGTACTTCTCTCTTCCCAAACTGGCAGTGTGATTTTTTTTTGACATTTGTGGAATCAATATATGTTTTACACGCAAACACATACAATCAAGTAAAGTACCAGCAAACATTACAATCAAGTAAAGTACAAAAATTTATCCCTTAAATACAAAGGAATATACTGCTGCTCTCTACCACTATCAAAAAAAAACATGATAGATATAGTAAATATTTCTGAGCATATAAGTACTACCTTACACAAAACATGCTAAAAACGTGTTCATGAAGCAGTGATGTACGACAAATTACATTATTTTATTATTATTAATGGGCTTTTAATAATAAAGCTGCCAGAAAGTTTCTTTAGATCTTAATGGAACCGAAAGTGGTTCATCTGTGGCATCACTCCAAAGAACTATTCAGACAATTTTACTTTAAAAAGTAATTGCAATTTTAAGTTTTGTTTAGACTGAGTAACGTGTATGCTAAACAGAAGTGGCTGATCCAAGACATGTCTGGAACATGAATAGTAACAGGTGCTGAAGCTTTGAGTAATGGTCCCTCTTAAGAACAGATATAGAGCTACAGTGGATCAAACCATGGCAAGAGGTGGGTATGGAGAATTGCTTTCATTTTATTATTTTTTGGGTTTTGCCAACTAGGAGTCTGGGCCCTGATCAGTAAGCTCTAATAGTAGCTCACTGTTTTTAAACACACTGGCATATAGTCCCATTATCCAAATATACACTGGGGAACAGTCTTCTATGTATAAATAGCCAATGTGCCAAAATACCCATATGATCTCACCCTTAGATTTACACAAACAACTACATCAACTGATCCCACTCATATGTGTTTCTACATATATGGAAACAGCACAAATATTGTGAATAGAATAAGAATAAAAATATGTTGGGAGACCAAAGTTCTGAAGTTACTTGACAGTAAAGCTAAGCCATTTAAAAGGGCTTACATTATGCATTTTGAACCGTACTGTAAGACTAAAAGGGCTGATGCCCAATGACAGAGACAGAGCAAGGGGCCTAATGTGACAGTGGGTTTGATTAGGATCACAGCTGAGTGGTAATTCCTCAAAGCGGTATCAGGGTTCAGACTCCGCATTCCCAGGAATATCAGAAGATAAGGTGATACGGATAGATGAAATTAACATCATGCAAGAGTTTTAGAGTGCCTCAACAGATGACCTTGAAGATACAAGGCTGGTCACTTTTTACACAAAACTAAGAGAGACCTTGTGTTAAATAACTCTCTATATCAAGTTTTGGTAGAGGGCAAAATGAGTCAGATGCTGCTTGACCCAAGTCAACAATTAGACAAATTAAATAGACAATAGGTTAGGATTCCCTTATCCTTGTGTTTTTTTTAATTAATCAAGTGATGTATTTAAAATTAAATTGGAGTAACAGCATACCTCAGCCCCTGGTCTGCCCCAAACAGCTACAAAACTGGACCAACATTTTGGCACAATAACACCCCTTAATTACACTCCTAATCAATCAATGACCTCTCTCCAGGAGAACTTTACAAAAGATTGCACAAAATCCACAATGTGCGGTCAACACATTGATAATACAATGTGTGTGGCACACTAATAAAACTACTGTGGTTGATTACTAAAAGATAAGATGACAGTATTCAAAAGAGTCTTTGCACTGCTGGCAAAGACATACTACCACTATAGTAGAGGTCTATTACCACGGAAAATAGTTCACATCAAATTAGCAAACATGAAATTAAATAGCCTAGTGGAAAACGATGTCCCCTTAAATAAATAAATCCTCCATAATCTTACATACAATGGGTATCATTACGGTTACATGCTGAAGAATGTTAAGCCCTTTCTCAGACAAAAAAATGTTTTTCTGCCTGAGCTTCTTCAGTTCCTGTTGTAGATTTCATAGCAATACAAATTTCAGTATTTTTGTTGTGTACTTCAAGCCATTAATTAATTTTTACATTGTCCATTGGATAAACTAGGAGTTCGAGAGTAGCAAAAATACACTAGTGTAGCCCCTGATTAACATATTTTATCACATAAATCACTTATGTGAAAGTAATTTGCCAGAAAATGTGTAACAATAAAGTTTAGCAGTGACAAGCAGCATACATGTTAATGGACAAGGCTGGCATTTATGTCCCTCCTGCAGAAATAATGCATGTCCCTATATGGGCAGCCGCTGGGGATAAATTGTGATTGTGACAGTGCAGGGTGACAGCAGCTGTGTTGTGTGTCAAATGGTGGGGGGGTGGGGTTTGGTGCAGAGAAGGAGAGGAGGGGCAGCGAGAGGGAACAGAGATGAGGGGGGTGCAGAGAAAGGGGGTGAGATGATGGAGATCTATAGTGAATAGTGTCCAGTTACAGGACACTTTCCAATCTTAGACACCTGATGGGAGCCTGGAATATGAAGGCCTGCGCCTGGTCTGCGAGGAACCCAAGGGCAGAACAAGGGTAGTGGCTATGGCCAGAATCAATTGAAAAACTCATATGCAGCTTAGTTTAAAAGCAAGCAGTACAAACCGCTTTGGCCTAGAGTGAACAGACAGACAAAGCAAAGCATTTAAAGAACTTCTTCAGCCTGAAATCTTGAAAAAGAAAGACAAAAAATGTAATATTTGTCTAATATTTGATTTAAAAAAGATATCTGATAAGATCATCTTGAAGGCATATACTTTAAAGACAAGCAATTAAAAAATTTTGTTTTGTTTTTTTCTCTAGTCTGCTAGCTCTAGGTCTTTCCATTAGCTGGTGCCATGCCTCAGGGCAGCTGACACACAATGGCGGCGCATGAGCCATAGCCATATCAAAATACGCTCTGCCTGAGTCAGAGACTTTCAGCCCTGCCCTCTAATTTTAAAGAGACACGTGGCCCCATTAAAAAAAAATTAAAAAACAAATTTAAAATTGACCAAGTGTGCATTTCTCAAAACTGTATAAAGATGAGCTAAAGATGAGCCCCCTAAAGTGTTTCATCCTGAGCACAGACATGGAGGATGTAATTAAAAGGTATGTCCTTAAACTAATACGGACCAATGGCAAAAGATGGAACTGAGTGACACAGTCAGACTTCCATCCTCTGACAGTTGTCAAACATTTCAAGGCCTTTTCATCTCATCAGTCAGTTTGATCATTCTTTTGAAACCCACATAATAGCAATATTATAAACACACCATTATTCTTAAGGCCAACATAACCTTCATGTGTCAGCTGTTTTTTCAAATCCAAAAACTACAGATAGATCTTAACACTGATACTGAGTGCTTGATAAGTTCTCTCCCTTTTGGACAATGAAAAGATAATCAAGTTTCAGGCAGGTGGGCAACTACAGTGTTTTATCAACTGAGATGCATTGCAAAGTCTTCAGAACAAAGACAAATTTATCTGCAAAGAAACAGCTTAGTTTCAGGACCTCTTACCACTGTTAAGAGTATCAGCTCTAATAAAGCATTGATTAAATGTTAAAACTAAACCAACGTTTATGTCTAACTCTGATAAGAAGCACAAACAAACACCAAAAAGTTCAATAAAAGTGCTAAAAGCCATTACCTGGTGTGGCAAGGGCCAGCACGGAGACAAAGCAGCAGACTGAGACAAAGCCTTTCATGTTGACTGCCAGGAGAACTCTGATAGCCTCAGTGACTATATATATACCATCCACAGAAGGTCAAGGGGCACGTAGCAAAGAGGCTGGGTAACCAGAGGGGACTGCTGGGTGGTCAGCATGTGTTAGATTGTGCATGGGGGTTGGTGTTCACAGGCGTCATAGCAGGACAGCATGCCATTGAGGACTACGTACTGGAGCAGCTGACTGTTTCTTTTAGCCACTCTGTTATGCCTGTGACGCCAAATCAAAGGTGTACAGGCTCTCCAACCCCCATGTTTAGGAGGGACACTTTTGTTGGCCTATGAGTAGACTAAAGGCACTGTACTATATTTAATGCAAGTAATATCAATAATATAATATTCTACAGTTTCATAAATGACATTATTGAGAACGTAACGTGTGATGCCAACCATTCTATACTTTTGGTATGATCATATTTAACTAGTCTATTTATAGTTATATTTAATCACTTTAAATTCATGGCAGTTTTAGTGGTTTTACACATGGAATATCTCTGTTTTATGACAATAATTTAAATAGGCTCTCAGTCACCCCTAAACCAAAGCATATGAAACTCCAAGTTAAATAGCTTGGTCTGTTCAATCAACACAAGCACCAGTAACCAAACGAATCAATTATTTTATTAAGAGGTATTATTAGGACCTGAGGAGTATACTACAAAAAACGATTTCTGTTAAGATAGTGTTCTGATGTCACAAAAGTGCCTCCTCTGCAAGTGCAGCAATGTATCCTCTGAAGCTAACTTGCTTGGGGCAGTTTAAGTTGATTCTAGTTCCAGAGAGTGAATAAAAAAAATCCCACTTCTTAACCCACTCTATCCATGTCATGTGTCGCCCTTCTCAGAAGACCACATGGACCTTATAACGGGATCACAATGTAATAAAGTATTTTCAGGGACAGACTGAATCTTTAATCATCACAGATCAACAAGATGGGTCATTAAGGCAGGGAGAGTTGCTAGGCCTTTCATTACTCAGAAATATTTAATTTAATCAAACATTTTGCTCTTTTATGTACAATTATGTCTTGTCTTAATTATATTGAAACAAAAATCCAACCGAATAAGTCCTGAATATGCTAACCCCACTTCATAGTATACCCCTTCAGTCACAAGAAAATCATTATGGCCTCTGGTTAAAATTGATCAACATATGCTTCAGCATTAGGAAGCCAAGGTCTTTGTGTCATACACAGCCTATTTTTTATTTATTATTTTTTATTAGTATTTTAAAATGTCACTTTTATTTGAATATATGAGTGAGGTAAGTAATCTAATTTCTACTTGGTTACTCTTTAGTCCTTTGCATTTAGTTACTTACTCCTTTTTTGTATCTTAAAAAAGAAAAGAAGGAATAAATTAAAAATGGTCCACACTGCTTTCAACCAACAGCCCGAAAAGCTAAAGAAAAATATATACAGTGCTGTTTGACAATGTGTGAATGTTAGCATTATGTGCATTTTTGCATAAATTTGTCATGAGATCAGATCATCATTCAGGTCACAACAACAGATCAAGAGAAACAAATAACACAAACAATTAGCAACAGGTCTTTACAGTCTTTGAAATACAGTGGTGGCAGTATCATGATTTTGGGGCTGTTTTGCTGCTATTGGAACAGGGCAGCTTGCCTCCACTTGAGCAATAAATTCTGAACTGCATCAAAAAAATACTAGAATGAAAGAATGAATAGAATGAAAAAGTACAGAATTGTTTGTGTTATTTGTTCTACTGGGTTCTCTTTAAGATCTGATCATATTTTGGGTACATTTTTTGAGAAATTCACATAATGGTAAAGGGTTCGCAGCAGTGTACACTATCTGAGGAACAGTCATTAAAGCAGCTGAAGAGAACCAGGGTGCAGCACAGACTGGACCTCTATGTATTGAAAGCTGTAACTATGTAAGCAAAATCTTTCAGTAGGTTAAATGGAAGGCAAAAGCCAAAAAGAAAAGAATGATGGTAAATATACAAATATGCAGCAAAACAATTACAACTGATCCATCTTGTTGGTCTGAGAAATCTTTCTCTTCCCTTTAAAACTATGTGTTAATCACATAGTGATAAACCATATCAAACCATTCATCAAATTGTTTATCTTTTACTATTTAACTATGATCAAACAATGTATCCTGTGCTAAACAAAACCATAGTAGAACAATATATTTTGTGCTTTATTAATATATTTTATGTACAATTCACTAATGTCTTGGTTTCAGTGTCACAGCAAGATAGTTGGTAAGGTCAGCATTTTGGCAAATTCCTCTATAAAGATCCTTTTAAATAGTTTAATAGTTTTGCGTATTTTGGGATGTCAGCATTTAAGTGGGCCTACTTTGTAATTCTAAAATATCAAATTTCTGGCACTCTACTGCTGGTTTGCTCCCATTTCATGAACCAACCTTTTTTTGGTTTTTGATCACAGATGGCATGACATTCTGTGGCATAATCTCCTGTTACAGCTTGGAATTTATTGCCCTCTCAAAGCAGGACCACACCATTACACTCAGTCAACCATGATTTAAAGCTGGGATGAAGTTTTGGTGTTGGATTGACGTAGTTTGTTTTCTCTAAATATAACACTAAAATACAAGTCCAAAATACAGGGGCATCCCCTTCTTAGTGCTTTGAATGCCCTGAAAGCCTCAAAATCTGAAAGCTGAGAATAAAGTTAAAGCACATGTAGTGGTGTATCAGATAAGTGTACAAATACCAATTCAGGAAGAATTTAGTTTTCAGTTTAGTTTAGTTTTTAGTTTAACTACTGCAGTGATAGTCCATCTGTGTAACACATGCTTATTACTATTTTATTTAAGACTCTATTTCATAGAGTGATAGCAGTAAACTTCTATGCTTCCACTATAAATATCAGACAGCTTCAGATAAATCGTTATGAATGTAACAAGCAGTCAAATGTTTTTTCAAATTGTTCCTTTGAAACTACAGACTCCCCAAAGGTTTTCACTGATGTCTGCTTTCTGTGTATTGGATCTGAAACAGAACTCAAATCAGACTGACAGTCAGACATTAAAAATATATCAGACAAATTAACTGTTTCTTTGAACTTGCGAGCTCACGTTCGCGTTACTACACAGGCAGGAAACACAGAAGGAAATTCACAGCTCAATCAATCATTTTGCTCAGGCTGGATAAAAGTTGTCAGTGACCTCAGGAAGGAAAAGACGTCTTCCCACCAGCAAGATCATTGCCATAAATAAACGAAATACCATATACTGGCATTTCAGAACAAATGTTCACTTTTACGAACCCAGAAACCAAATCGGATGATAGAAAAGACAACACAGTGGTATTTTAGCATATCCTTTTCCAGCCTCCTGTATTAATATATTCACTGCACAAAAAAGTGTTATCACAGAAAGTAAAACAAAGGCAAGTATTTAGTTTCCTGCTAAATTTTAACCTGCTACTTCCATCAACACCTTCATAGAGTGAAACAGAGCCTTCCAAAACAAAAAGGGGCTATATGTACAATCAGACTTTAGTCCAGCCTACAGAAGAACTCAAATCCAATTCATTCAAAGTGAAACTGGTTTGGACTAAAGCCACACTTTCACAAGGCGGACATGATAATTTTTTTTTGCTCTTTCTTGGCCTAAGCAGGACAATTAGCAATCAAGTATCCTAACTCATTGCAATAAAAGCATTGATCTTCTGAACCAGAACGTGCAACACTATGAGCAGAACACTGAGAGGGTTTCACAAATATTGAAAGCCATCACCCAGACAGTGATGTAATAGCCTAATCCCCGCATGCTGAAGGCGGAAACACTAGTTTGGGAGACAAATTCGTCAGCCAAAATATCAGCATCAGCTGAAGATGTGACTTTTTTCATTTATATGTTCAACATTTCTCTCTGGCAAACTACATTTAAACTCCTTCAGTCACATTAACCCTCCTAACCAGTCAAAAGTGGTGATTAAGCAGCAAGCCTCTTATCATACACACCCTTCTCTCGAGCACATTCTACATAAGTATGGCAGGGTTTTTTGTTGCATGAGCTCGAAACCTGTCTACAAGCTTCAGGATCTTATTCAAATGCTTGCAAAACATTGGCTTTTACAGTATGACCTACCACTATCTTACTTTCCTCCGACTTTTGTATAGCTGGAGCGCCCCCTGCCGCTACCAACCAGAATACTTCTGGCTCTAGTCCTAGTATAAGAATAGGTGGAACAAGAGAGAGACACGAGAACAAGACAATGAAAAAAAAAACGTGCATGGGCACCGTAAGAGTCGCATTACCATTATTTTTCCGTAAAACATTTACGGACAATAGGCCACGCCTATTGCACCTTGCATGCTACAATATGTACAGATAATACATGACATTATAATTCCTGTTAATAATATTGTTTGTGTTTGCATTAGATATCACAATAATATGATGATTCTAACTGTAGGTGTTTACCTTACCTGTGTCACATGAACATTTTAACCTTTTATTCTCTAACCACCTCCAATCAGCCTGCAACTGTTCTTCTTGATTTTAGTTAACTTGTAAAGTGATTTTTGGTTTGTTTTTAGTTATTGTTAAATTTTCATTATTCTATTCTCATTTATTTTAATGTTTCCAATCTATTGTTTTATATCGTTTATTTCTTTATTCTTTTTTATTAATTCTATTTTTTTATTTATCCTTATTTTAAGTTACTAGATTGTTGTAATTTTAACTCTTTATTGATTATATTATTTATTTACTATGATTATTTTTTTATTCACTACTATGACTCTTATTACTTTTTGGCATTTGTTATGTTTTACTATTTAACTTCTCAATCCCTGATTTCGGTATTGGCTCGACTACATTGTAAATGAAGGTCTCTCTCAGTGTACTCCGAGTTTAAATAGAGGTTGATTGATTGATTGATTGATTGACCTAGTTTCATGTATGAACCACTGTATGATGGCTAGACACATCCCAGATGTTGGTCTCCCCACTTATCAGACTTAATTTGCAACCTTGTAATAAACAAATGCATTTTACAAATGCATTCTTTTCTGCCATGTTAGTTAACTTCAAGTCAAGTCAAGGC